ATACCCTGGTCAGGAACAGTCAGCCTCTGTCCCAGGTACTCAGACCTCCATCTACATGCTCCCCTTCCCTGATTCTCTCCCTGCCTGCCCTTGGGAGGGGAGGACAAGCCCCTCTTCATGGCCTACTGTGATCTTCATTCCAAGGGTCACTCATTCCATGCAGCTGGCCGGCAGTGGAGGCAGGATATAGGCAAGAGAGTTACAGCAGCTTCCCAGATGAATTCTCCAGAAAGATCTTGCCAATAACCAACAGGGAGCAGAGCAGGGGAGATTCTATCGTTTGCTTTTGACATCCTGTCATATTAGCTACATGCTTTTGAATAAACACAAAGTACCTCCTCAAGGTGGGAGTGCTGTGGCACTCCTCTGAAAACCTCCCCTGCAGACCGTGGGCCTTTACGGAAGTCATCAGTGAATTCTGCCTGTGGGATTCCTGGCCACTCCTTCTCGCCACTACTATCCTCATGTCCACATTGCTCCTCTGGGCCTAAGGACACCAATGGGAAGCCATGATAGAATTCAAGCCTGACCTTTATTTACCTTACCTTCCTTCTCTGCTCAAGCCCCTTTATCCACAGTCCAGGGTGGGCTGGGAGGAGTTGTGTGGAATGCTGACCCAGCTTAAGTGTGGGTTAAAGCTCCTTGTCTAGATGGGAAGGACATTTTAGCCTCCCCTCGTACCTTCCCTTAACACACCACAGTGGAGAGAAGGAGGAGACAGTGCTTTGCTTAGAGACATAGAGTGTATTTTGGGGGGCACTCTGCCCCACCTGCACACTAATGAAAATGACAGTAGCAGTCCTCTTCAAGGGACACAGATGTTGGGGGAGCCTACCAAGTCTTTTGACTGTGTTGGGTCTTCTTGAGCAGACCGTTTCCCTCTGAGGTGAGAGGTGAGATCCAGGGTACATTCCTTGGTTGGGTGGCACAAGCCACTCGAGGACAGTGCCGAGGGCAGTGGTGGGGGTGGCCCAGGACTGAGGCAGAATGGAGTTGGTGAGAGTGGGAGCGGTGCCGGAGCTTACTGTCTGGGGAATGGGGACCATCCAAGAAGGCCAGGCCCACCTGCTTCTCAGTGGGGGAAGATCGGGCCTTGGAGTCCCCTCTTATCCTCTCTGTCTTGGTTCGCTCCATGGGACTTTTGGCTGGAGCCAGGCCCTTTTCTACATTTTCTTTTCTGGTGTTGGCCACTTTCCCAGCTATAGAGAACATGGATTCCTCATGCACTTTGCCTTTTGCCTTGGAGTTAAAACAGTGCAGAAAGGATTTCATCTTACTTCTCAAGCCTGATTCTGGAAGGCTGGGCCTCTTGTGGGTATGGACTGGCATCACCTGTCCCTGCAAAACCTGACCTTTCAGAGTTTGGTCCCGCAAAGGCTTACTGTGAATGAGTTGGCCCAGGAAAAGCTGGCCCTGTGATGCCTGGGGCACCACAGGTAGGGCATTCTTAGGAATCCTTGCTGGTTTGAGGATGACATTAAGCTTGGTTTGACTGCTGTGCAGGTCATTCTTCTCAGATACCTTCACCCCAGGGATTCCTGGAGGTGGCTCTGGAAGCTTCATCTGAGGGTGATGCCGGGTACTGTGCTCACAGGGAGCATCAAGAGGAAAGCTATGGCTCCGTCGCCAGGGGCTATGGGGCGTCCTGTTCAGAAGTATCCCTTTTGGCCTCTGGGCTTCATCAGGGAGGCTTATGTCTCTTGTAGAGGAGTGTGCAAACCCTGCATCCCCTTCTCCGTGGTCCCCTGCCAATTTGGGTTTCCCTGGGTCCTCTCTCTTTTCTGACAGCATGGGGACTTGGGCTGAGTCCTTGCTGTGGCCAGGGCTTTGGGGCTCAGGGCTCCAGGGCTCCTCCAGGCTGGGGCTGTTCACATTGGCCTCCAAGTGAACACAAAGCACCTGGGCCTCTGTCATGTCCCCACTGGGTTGTGAGGTCCAGTGGGCAGAACCATGAGGTATTGGTCTTGAACTAGGTTGCTTCTGGTTCTGCTGCACTGCCTTTAACTCAAGGGCCAGCTGTTCTTTAAGGTGGAGCCATTCTGGATCTGGGACATGAGGAGTGTCTGGTGGGATGGGGAGATCCTGGAGCCATGTTTTTCCTTGGTTGTTTAGACTCCCTAGAGACTCCTGTGTGGATGTGTTGTCTGGGGTTGCTACAGTTTGTTCTCTGGACAACCTTGCCTTTATGGGAATTCCCAGTTGTATCTCTAGGATCTTCTTTCTTAGATGGAAATTTAGTTTGGCTAAAATGGGTTTCTTGAGGGTGTAGGGCCCAGAGGCCTCTGCCTGGCTTTCTAGAGGCACCGTCTTGATCATTTCTTCCACCTGCTCTTCAACCTGGAGCTCATCTTCAATGTCTGCACAAGTCTCGTTGGCATCTTGAAAGCATGGCCCAGGACTCAGACACCGCTCTTCAGATGAGATCATCTGAGTCAGAGGTTCACTTGGGAATTCACCAGGCCCAGGCACCATTCCTGCGATTACAGCTTGGGTAGAGATTGCCGGTGCCATGGCCCTAGAGAGAGCCACATAATAAAGAGCAGGCAGCCCTGACAAGAAGGCCAGGTACTTGTGCCGCAAAGTTGTCTCCAGTTTCTCAATGGCTCCCTCGGACAGGGCTTGGGACAGCTTAGTGTGTTCAGTGACAGCATCTGGTGAGGCTTGTTGCTGTTGATCAAGGGCCATTGGTATCCAGGGCACAGCTTTTTGTTTTAGGGCAGGGTCAGTTGCTGCCTGTAGCTCCAAGGGCTTGCTTTCTGGGATGCAGGTGAAGGGAGCCACTTGCAGGTCCCCAGGAATTATGCACTGCCAAGAGCTATATACACAAGCAGGGACCTTGCCCTGGTGAATCTGCCCACATTTGAAGTTGATGTGGCCCTGCAATATTGCCTTGGCCTGGTCAAACAAGTGTGGCATGGAGACTGGCCCTGGGTCTGTGATGGGTGAGAATGGGTCACTGGCCCCAGTGGCCTCTAGGGCTGTAGGTTGGGGA